TGAGAAAAGTGAAATTATACTTTGAATTTTCAGCTGTTTTTTTTTTTCACTGTAGTGGACCAAAAAGGTCAAAAAGGGCCCCGTGTGGACCCAAAGCAGGACCTTTACTTTGGTTTAGTTTTAAGGCTGCTGTATTATTTTATCAAGAAAAATCTGCTCTAAATATTGTCTCATCATTGTTCATACTGGATTGTTTTTTGAGACAGAATCTCCTTGTAGTTCAGGCTGCCCTTGAACTCTAGCCTGGGCTGGCCTGGAATCATTTTCCCCTTCGGTTTGTGCCGCCACACCCAGCATGTTTTTAAGATGCCTTTATAGGTACTTGTTTTCCTGTGCGGGCAAGATCCACACATTGTATTTGGTTGATACATTAGTCTGAATTTTTCACCTTTTTCCCAGTCAGTGATTATTACTGAGTCCGTTTTATCATTAGAAGATGAAAAGTGATGATTTCCTAACTCTAGAGCATTACTTCTTAAAGTCCTGAAATAGTCATGTTACTTTCTGGAGAGGAAAGCACGGGCAGCGCTCCTCTTTCTGAGAGGGATTCCTGCGCCGTGCCCACTGTGGAAGACGGAAGTGCCCAGCTGCTGTGAGGCTGTGTGAGAGCAGGGCCGAGCCCATACCTGTGGACCATGAAGATTAGAGTGGTTTCTGTTTCCTTTAGATGCTCAGCGCCCGCAAATGTGATGGGAGGGGAAAACAGGAAAGGAAAACCTAGCAGTTTGCTGTACTGTTTTCAACAGTTCACAGTTATAGTTAAAAGCCAAAAGTTTTGTCAGTTTAATTCTAGGTGAAGTACGTTGTACTTATTTCAGTTTTGCCTGGAGTATGTGTCATTCATCAGTTTTGCTGGGCATTAGCAGGAGGTAGTGGAAAAAGAATGGGTGATTTTCTCAGGAGTTTAGAAAGCACTGGATTAAACTGGCAGGTTTCATTATTGTAGCCATTTAGTAACAGAATCTTGAAGGAACTATGTGATTTTTATATCCTTTTTTAAAACTATTTTGTGGAACAGCTTTGAATACACAATAAGTAATCTGAACTACTTAGTTTTATGTAGCAACTAGCTAAAACAATATGCTCAGTTATATCTGTGTACAATTAGCATTACTCTAAAAACTTGAATCTAGTAGAAAACTTGACAGAAAACCTTGGAGATGGTGAACTTCTGTATTTTGAGTTAGAGTTAGCAATACAGGTATCAGAATAGGAACCAGCATGTGCAGAGAAGACCGGAAACATGCCCTGTGTGCAACTTAGACCCTTAACCCTGCTAAGTCCGTATTCTAGGAAAATCGTGATTTCAGTCGCAGTTTCTTCTCCCAGTGAGCATGTTATACGGGTGTGTGTCGTTCATGGCATCTTCAGGTAGGGTGGAGGGCTGGGGTTTGCTGTTTTGTGTCCCTCCTAACAGTGCTATGCAGTCGAGGAGTGTCTACCCCAAATTGTGTGGGGTCCATCCCCTCCCCCTTAGGTTTTGAGTTCTGCGCTGTTTTTTTTGTTTTTTTTTGTTTTACCCCCTCAGCATATTTTGGCTATTTGTAAGATATAACAAAGGAAAACAGAAGATCTGATTTATGGTAATTTTACAATTAAGGAATTCAGCGTGATGTACAAACACGTGAATATATAAAATTGCCATATTCATGTTGGAGCCAGGTCAAGCAAAGTGCTGCAGCGGCCTTGGTTGGGTATTTTCAGACCTTGAGCTCTTACCTGTTAGTGGATGGAATACTGGGGCAAATCTGGAACCCTTTGTACCTTTAAGCTCTTTCTCCATTTTCATTTCTTGAGGGCAAGGGGTTTCACCATTACCTGTTTTAAAAATTTTTGTCAGTGAATCCATTTCTGGTAGCTAGTCTGAAACCAAATCAGTTGCTTTTAATTAATCAAAGACTCTTGAGAAAAAAGAATGCTAGTTGGGCATTGCACATTTTCTTAAAGCATTTAGTTCTTGCCTGCATTGTCAACCCTTGTTTGTTCATCACAAAGAACTCTCCAGAAATAAAATGCCAAACCTGCAACGAGAAGTTAACTCTAAGGAAAACTGTGCTGTCTCCCACTTCTGGCAGATGGAGCCCAGGAACCTGGCCATCGTGTTCGGCCCCACGCTGGTCCGGACGTCAGAGGACAACATGACCCACATGGTCACACACATGCCGGACCAGTACAAGATCGTGGAGACTCTCATTCAGCACGTGAGTCCACCCCTGCCCCCGCGGGCGAAAGCTGGACGTCACTTTGCGTCCTAAGAAATGCCTTTGCTGTGCAGTCTTCCAAGGTAGAAATGGATCGTGGAGGTTAATGTTTCTCTTTGCCTTTTTTGTTTTAAATTTCAGCATGACTGGTTTTTCACAGAAGAAGGTGCCGAGGACCCTCTTGTAAGTACTGAGCACCGGCCCTGCCACGCACTCGCCCTCATTTGGGACACAGCCCCTGACGCCGCGACAGTGGCGGCCTCCCGCCTTGTATCCTCTTGTCCGCTTTGCACCCTGCAGCAGGTCTCCACCTCCTCAGATTCTGATCTAATGAAAATACAATTACGATGCATATTTTTCAGTTCATTGTGTATAAGTAATGTAAGCAAAGTAAGGCCTGGTGCTCTGTTCAATAACATCTCTCATTAAATGTTGCTTGAATTTTAAAGACAGTATCTTTGAAGCAATGACGAGGAGATCTTTGTTTGTTAACCATAGACAGCAGTGCAGGAGGAAAACACGGTAGACTCCCAGCCAGTGCCCAACATAGATCACTTACTCACCAACATTGGAAGGACGGGCGCGTCCCCCGGAGACGTATCAGGTAACTTGCCTGGGCAGCGTGGATCCCGAGGTGTAAAGCTGCATTCTTACAACAACGAGCGAATCAGTCACATAGTAATTCACTACGATTCTGGTTTCTTTTCCTGTCAACTAATAAAAGGCTTCCTTTTCTGATTGATCGCAGTTATCTTCCAGTGACTATAATGCCATCGCCAGTGCATGGAGTCGTAGTGTTTGTCAGAATGGAAATAGGAGGGAAACGATCATGCAAACCACTGTTCCGTTTTCTTTTTTTTTAATTCAGTTTCCATGTAATAGTCACCACCAGGTAAACAGATACGCCACTGAGTATGTGGTTGCTGTGACGGCAGGAAGTGTGGTTGGGCTGGACACAGCTCGTGCTGTAGAGCTGGAAGCTCTGTCAAAGCAGCAAGTTAGCACATGTCCAGCCCCTAACGGACACCCTTCTCATAAAGACAGTCCGTTATCTGTCAGTACGGTGTCACAGTAAAAGTCAGTCTCTCTGACCTTTATTTTCTTGTTTCCTATTGCCACCCTAATGCTTGGTTAAGTATTAGTTTTTATAGGCTCTTTTGATGAAAACCTTTTCCTGCCAGACTGTTGCACTAATCTAGCATGTTGTTTCACACGATGTTCTCCTTTGTCTCTAGTTCTTGTTTTAGTCCTAAAGGGTTTTGCTCAGCATTTCTGACGCAGGCAAATCTATACTGATGTTGAACAGGCGAAGTGGGAGGAGTCTATCACACGGTAATGTCACTAGTGGATTCTGTGATGTCCCTGATGGACAGCTGGAACTGTAGGAAGAAGGAGGACTGTTGTCCACACTGCAGCTGCCTTGTCTGCAGAAATCCCCGGTTCTTGTAAATTCACAGTTGATCTGTGCTGTAAAGTTTCTCTAAAGAATATTGTAAACAGATCAGTACTACTTTCTTAAAAGTTTCTCTGCTGTTTCTTGTTATTTCTGAAGCAGACCCTGAGGAGAAATAGCATGGTATGGTCCACCGGTTCTTAAAGTCATAAAGCATTTGGCCATGTGTTAAACGAAAGGGGCGTGGCACGGGCTCAGCTCATTCATTCTGATCAGTTTCCCTAAAGTTGAAAGATAAAATATCAAAATTGGTATCGTTTTGCATAGTGCTAGCCCCTTCCTACCCTCTTTATAATTGTACAATCTGAGTTTTGCCAGACAGTAAGATTATGGTTTCCATTTTCCATCTCCATAATAGTGTCTGTTAACAGACAAATCCAAAAACCGGTAGCGATTTAACCAAATCAGTCAAAAGGACCCCTGATGTGGAACTGGGGTCTGAAGCACAAAAGTCAGCTTTATCTAAATTAAACCCAAACGGCCTGGGGCGGGTCCCCTGCGGCTGCATGCGAAGCATGTGCTTATCAAATCTAAGTCTGACAAAAATCAACACGACGCACCTGTGAGTGTCTCAGTTTGTAGCTAGGGCAGCCAGCGATGTGAAAGTCCTACATTGTGTATCGGTTTGAGATACAGGATGTGGTCTGTGATGCAGTTCTTAGGTCGCCAGGCTTCTTCACTGCCAGACTTACTGTCTAGAAATACACGAGTGTTTCTGTTCTGTTCAGCGCAGGGCTCCTTTGCCATTCCTCTCATTGAGCTGGTTCTGCCTCCAACTCACGGCATCCTTTCATGGCGGTGGCTTTCTGTGGTGCAGCTTGCATCTTCGTGAGCTCTGACTCCCCACTGTGTTGTTTTGCGTTTTGCTTTCACATCTTGTTCCGTGCCTGTGTTCTCCATAACTTCTGCATTGTTTGTCGAGAGTACTACAGATTGGCTGATACTGACCACGTGTCATTCCCTTCTTCACAGATTCGGCTACTAGTGACTCAGCAAAATCTAAGGTAAATTTTTTTGTTTATTTTGTGTTCTTTCTGGAACTGGAAATCGAAGTCAGTCAGGTCCTTTGGCTGGCCAGGCAGGCACGGTGCCACCGAGTTTCATCCATCCCGGGCCTGGTGAATTGTTGTACACCTTGTGGAAGTACTTCGGGGGGTTGCTATGAATAACACGCAAGTGGATCCTCATCCATACCTGCCGAGCCTGAACAACAAAATCCAATAGATGAAAAAATGAATTCTTTGGATTATGAAGTTTCTTACAGCATAGTTAATTAAATGCAAACAGCCAGGCTTCCCCCCCCCCCACCAGTCTTAAAATTTTTCTAACATATACAAAAATAGGAGCAGGTGTGATCAGCCTCCGTATACCAGTGACTCTTCCAGCAGTTTTCAGCACAGGCTCTCCTGTTTCTTCTGCGTCCCACCCACTGTCCTCCTCCTGGGACCATTTCCAAGCAAGTCCAAAACATGTCCTTTTATCTGCAGATATTTCAATATTACTGACTTATGCATTACTGTAGAATATATATGTAATATATATATTCTTGCTTTTTCAGCAAAATTTTTATGTAATTTATACGCCATTGACAGCAACATCAGATCACAATTTTTAGATTAATGTGTGTTATAACTAAACATGAATTTTACATGTCATGTTTAAATATGGGCTGGGGATTTAGGTCCATGGTGCTGCCGCCTGCCTAGGAAACCTAAGATTCCGAGTTTGATCCCCGGTAACAAAAAATAAGTTCTTACCACATGGGATTGTCTCCAAGTTTTTATTGTGAAAAATATTAAGCTTACATCACAGCTGCTAGAATAACAGCACCCAAATCTTGTACCCTAAATTCTCAGTTGATAAATTCTGGCATAAATAAAAATACAGCAATTCCCCAACTTAGGAATGAGTTCCGTTCTGGAGAATTATAAGCTGACAAAGTGAGTCTTATACAGTGTATGTTTGTAAATCTGGGACTTACTGAAATGTGTATTTTTTTCCTGAGTTATTTGAATTAGTTGTACGCAAAACTGTACCCCTAGATATTTTAGCATGTATCTCCTGAGAACAAAGACGATTACCCTACGTAATCACAGTATAATTGTACTTAGGGTACTAACAAATGCATTGTTATCTAATGGGCAGCTGTTATACAGATCTCCCCAGTTATCCCAATTTAGTATGCAAAAACCTGTCCCGCACTCTTGCTTGTCAAATCTCTTTAGATTTTAGAAGTTTCCCAACCTCTTTCTTGCCAGAAGGTGCAATTTTTTTTAAATCTGAAAGGCAGAAGTCAAACCCCTGCCTTCTTTCACACTAGATGCGTGCTCCCTAACCTGTCTCTCCCTCCTAATTACTGTGGTATTTGTGATAATGTAGCTGTCCAAAGGGTGCGACTACGACTATTCCTAACCGTTTCTCAGTTCTGGACAAGTCATTTGCTCCATCACCTACGTGATCTCAGGATTGTTTAAAAGTGAATCAGTAACACCCCAAGCATTCTGTACTACAGGCCAGAGTAAAGAACATGAGCTCACAGCCACTGTCCCCTAGTCTTCAGCAGAATGTGGAAACATAAAAACAGCCATTAGAAAAGTACTGGGTAATTATGAAATCCCTTGTGACTTACAAAGCAACATCCTGTTAAGCCCACCCCACCTCACCCCTTTTTATCCTTGATACCAGGGATCAAACTTGGGACCTTACACTCGTGAGGCAGGCACGGTTCCACTGCGCTAAATTCCCAGCCTTACAGCCTCGGTGTAACAGTTTTATAGCAAGAGAAATATACTTTTGATCTGTTCCTCAGCACACTTTCTGCCTGCTTTATCATAGATAGTACCTGCTAAAACAGGTATCCATTGACTCCCCCAGCCACGTACTTAACATACAGACACGAACAAACTGATCGCATTATAGTGTACGGGTAAAAGTGCACTCAAGTGCTTCGCCGTGAGGGTTTATCAAGATGCCTCGATAAACCTGGATTATTTCAATTTTCCAACTCTGTTTTTACCACTAGTCTAAATAAAGGTGTTACTACTAACCGAGTCTGCTGAAGGCAGCGCCCTCAGGTCCAGCCTTGCTGAACTGCTGGCAGCCCTAGAGACCTTACCCGACACAGTAGCTGTATCGTTGTTGTCTGCAATTACAAAACTGAAAGCGGCCTTAGAACGTTGAACTCTTTTTTGTTGTTGTTGAACTCTTACACCTGTGTTCATATGAAGGAAACTTAAGGAGGTCAGAGCACTGTGGAAGCAGGAAAGTCGGTAGATTCAGAGAATTAATAAGAACCAGGAGTGCCGGGTGCAGTGCCGCTGCAGTGTCCCCCCCAAAGGTCACAAGTAAATGGCAAAGGAGGGGCGTGTAAATGAAGCTAGATTTTTGCTGCAAAGTTGAACGGGCATGTAAGAGAACACATTACCCCTTTTGTGCTCCTAGAACCTAGTGGAGTTAAATCTTTAAGAAGTATCTGCGGGGAGAGCTCGGGAGTCCGGCTCAGTAGTGTTCTGCTCACTGCGGTCCCATTTCTCTGCTCCCCAGGGCTCTTGGGGTTCTGGAAAGGATCAGTATAGCAGGGAGCTGCTTGTGTCCTCCATCTTCGCAGCTGCTAGTCGGAAGAGGAAAAAGCCAAAGGAAAAAGCCCAGCCTAGCAGCTCGGAAGATGAACTGGACAGTGTATTTTTTAAGCAGGAAAATGTGGAACAGTGTCACGGTGATAGCAGAGAAGAGTCCAAGAAAGAGAGTGAGACATCGGGCAGCGCACAGAGGATCCTCATTGCTGAGGAAAGCAGCGCCAGGACAGACAGCAGCGTGTCCCGGGAAGCGAGGACCCCCCGGTCGTTGGGGCCCGGCAGGTCGCCCACGCCGCGCCCCCGAGCGC